TATTTTATATCAATTAAGGAAAATATTGTCTATTTCTACCTATTTCTACATATTTAATAAAATCAAAATAATAAATGACATTTACTTTACTGAGTTAAACGAATAAACAAAAACTGACTTATTTGGGGAATATTTATTAAAATCTGTTTTCCACAAACATATATATATACATATATATATAAAAGGAACATGTTTCATAAACATAAATAAGTGAATATACAAAGATCATAGCAATTATGGCATAAATTTTATATTTTTTGGTAAATGTAACCCTTTTCGTGTAGTACATATAAAGCAATTAAATATATGGAGTATATTGCGATGCTTGTAAAAATAGTAAACAAGACATTTATATGGATTTACATAGATCATTAAAACAATGAGATTAAGGAATAATTTCTAGTGCCTGGGAAACATTAACAGAAAGTCTTTATATTTTATATTAAATTTATCTGTCTTTAAATTTATCGGGTCTACGTATAGAAATCGCTGAACAAAAATGCTTCTTTCACTAATCAATTCCCTTACTTATTCCTATAGAGAAACGTAACGACAACAAATCCGATTGGAAGTAGTGCACTTACCACATTCATGGGATCAAAACTTTGTGTGGGATATCCAATCTTGTAACTGCTTATAACTGAATCATAACTAAAACTGTTTGAGAAGGTCTAGACAAACCGTAAAGATCTAAGGTGACTTCAAATAATTCTTTTAGAACAATACCAAATCCGTGGACCATAGGTGGGCATGGAGTTAGTCTCATCCTACCCTGTGGTATCATGTGTAACACATGTCTGCCGACTCTCGAAGAAGAGGAACTAGAACACCTGTTGTGTTTATATCCTGGCCTGGCCAGAAATAGGACGTAAAACCAAAAAAAAATTTCAGTTTTGTCAACAGCTTTAAATTGTCCAGTTTAACTAAGAGGACTCCAACCAGGATTAGCATAGTAAAAGTTTTAAGAATAGTGTCTTACTGTATTTTCTAATAACAATAATAACAATATTAATAATAGCAAATTTAACAATCGATACAGTTATATCCATTTGTCTTTACTTGCATCTGAACTTCTCTCTGAATCTAAAGACTTTGATAAGACAAATGATAAGATAAGATAGGGTTTGATAAGACTGAATAGAATTAGATAGTGTGTAACTTAATATTACACAGCTAATTTACTTAATGTTAAATTACTTACTGAGCATTATATGTATATATGATATATGCCGATTAAGTGTCATACAGATATTTAAATCTGTAAGTAGTCCACTAAATTCAATAAGGTAATAGTTTTTATTATAAAACGTATTGCAATATATTTTTGCATTTAGATGTGTACATATATGGTAATAACGATAGACGCTATTAAACGTAAATCCGTAGAGCTGATGCAGCAAATATGAGGTTTTGATCATAAGTGTTTCGTATTTATCCGTGAATTTTCTACACATTTTGTATTTAAGCAAATTTTATCTAAACTATATAGATTTCTGAAGTATACGGTTTATTATTTCATACCCTACATTCATATGAGATATTTTACATACATGTATGAATTACTGTTGGATTAAATCTGCCATTATTTTGGTAAGGGCATTTAAGCCAAATCAAATAAAAATGTAGAAGAAAAGGCAAGAGTCTCCATAATTTTGGTTTTCATCTTGAATTTCCCGTCTTATGTTCTCAATATATATTACTTATACTTGTTAAGACACAACTACCAACTATGTGTAGGTTTGTACACAAATGTATGGTTTAAAGATAGTATTTAAAATTGATAAAATAGTTCTTCAACAATTTAAAATTGATCTGGAAATCATTAGGTACACATTATTAAAAAATATTGTTACACATCATTAATCTATAAATCCAAAACAGTTAATTCGATCATTTACCAACTGAAGTTAAATTTATTGTTCTATAGCTGAACGTATTCCGATCATATTATACTGCACTATATATATGAATATGTAAATATAGCCGTTTTGTTTATTTTGCTAGTAATGTACAATTAATAATATCATATCAAATACTTAGGAATGACACTTATATATACTGAAGCCCTGTTTAAAAATGACGGGCAGCATGTGAAGAGAAAGATTGAATGACTGTTTACCACTAAGGCACGCATACATAATGAAGTCTGGCTTTGAAGGTCCTTAAAGGATGAAAATTGAATGTTCAAATAAATTTAAAAACTATCTGATTTATGATTTTGCAATAAAGATCCGAACACGAGTGAGTTTAAATTCTAAATTGTTGCAAACTATAAATAAAAAAAATGGTTTTGAATTCATAGCTATTTTAAAAAATTTGAGACTTGTTTTCATCCTTCTAAAATCATACGCCATCTATTGATGTAACGCTCATCGGGTTCTATCAGAATAAGATTTTACAGTGCACTTTGATAAGATCTATGCGAAAAATTTTTTAGCAGGAAGAAAAGGTATATAATAATTTATAATAATATTGAATATATTAGGAGAGTAAATTGTATTATGGCTTCTTATAATTTTATATTATAATAGAATTTACATATACATAAACATTTCTCATAAGATTTCTTTGCAGATTTTAATGGATCGACATGGTTATGTAATGAGTTTCCTGTTAATATATCTAACTGCCTTAAAAAGGGTATTAATCTAATATTAATGATAATGCTACAAAAAATATTAAACTTTGGTCTAAATTATTGTAAATTATTATTTTACAAATAAATAGAACGATTACAAATAAGAAGCATTTTACTTTATAAATTATTTTGTTATAGTAAATTCACACTATTCCATATATAATATATTACTGTAGAATAATGAAACACCTTTCTGATAAGTATTCTCCTTCATATTATATATATTATTTTCATACTTTATATATTTTAATGTGGATCAAAGCAATAGCAACTGTAGAATATTGGAATAAAGTCAACGGACTTTATATAGAGACGCTTAATCCCAACACAAAAACAGCAAGAGAGAGAAAGAAAACATAACAATTAATGTTTTCCCTGCAAATACTGGACCTGAGTGCAACGAACTATTGAGCCTGGCGGAGATCAGAAATATTGGTCTTTGGATCAATGCAATGGTAACAGTCAAATATTTGAATAAAGTCGAGGGAAAAGTTGAAGTTTATATAGAAACGCTTAACCCCAAGACAAAAGCAGCAAGAGAGAGAAAGAAAATATAACAATTAATGTTTTCCCTGCAAATACATGGGCCTGAGTGCAACGAACTGTTAAGCCTGGTGGAGATCAGAAATATTAGTCTTCGGATGGATCACAAAACTCGGATTGGTTTTTGAAATTGTTATATGTGTGTTGTAACATTATAATACTTGAAGTGGAAGTGGAATCTCTGCTTCTAACGAGTCAAGATATATTTAAACTTTAAAAATTGAACTAAATATAGAGTATCAATAGAAGCGAATCAATTTTATAAAATAACAATAAAATCACTTGTTTTTAGATGTTTAGTAATAGTTGAAAAACTTTCACTATAATTGAAAAAAAAAATACATATTCACTTATAAGCAAAAAAAAAGCTCGCATCTTTATGAAGAAAATGGCTTATAAAATAGGTTATAAAATAATCTCTAGATTATACCTTTAATGCCTACAATTTCTTAACTATATGGCGCTTAGAATATGTAAAAACAGGACAAGAAACAATTATAAATTGATGTAAGTGGTGTCTAGTAAGAGATAAAATAAAAAGAAGAATTACCATTGTAAAAGTTTCAATACACTCCATACTAATGTATAGATCAATTATAAAGGCTCTGAAAAAATAATCAAGAAACAATGAAACTGCGATTTAATGCAAAATGATGTAATCTAAGCACATAGTGACTAGATTTGTAAAGGGTCTGGGATGTTATAGATGGAGAGAAAGGGCTTTTAACAAAAGCCTAAAAAAATGATAATGCGTGTAACAATTATCTACAACTTGCTAAGTTTTCTATATATATATATATACATATATGCATTTCTTTTTTCTGGATGAGGAAAATAAAACGTTACATACATCGTAAACTAAGTACCATTAGAATTGTGCGTCCGTCTCCTACAGAGTCATTAGAATACATACTGAAACTGCTCATCTACATTGAAACCCATATCTATCGTGGAACTGATTTCTGAATTTTCGTAATGTAAGGACAATTTCATTTACATGTACACACAAAAGTATTAGTTCGTTGAAATTCAAACAGATCCCCTAACTAATCGATTCAAAACAAAAATCTATATCTTAAACATATATTGATGATCATAGATTGCTTTGAGTAAATGAAAAATTTATACTAAACTACAAGAAAATATTTTTTTTTAAATTTATTCCTTAACATAAGTTGTTTCAAAATCGAAAACATATAAAATCATAACATATTTTTATAGTTTTGTGGATTTGAATTTTTGAGGACTTTCATAAGTAAGTTATGCTGCATATATAGGTATATATATATTTGCTGTATTTATATAAATATGTGAATATATGTTAAATATTAAGTTAGATTACATGGTCTCATGCTCTAAAGATCGTTATGATACTATGTAATAGTCTTTGTCAGAAATAGAATACGTGCCCAATATATTTTATTAGTTAATATAGAAGAATCAAAACTAATGCCAATTTACCATTTTATTTATATAAAACGATATAAATATATAGCATATGTATATTTAATGGCACATTCAGTACACGTTTTTTATTGTCTAAAAAATTTTTAATCAATTCAGAACTAATGACAATATTTTCAAACTAGCTATGGATCCCAACGTTAAAGACCAACAGATTGCACGTCTAATTGGAGAAGAACAAATGGATGAGGAGGAACAATCTCTCGGACCTATGCAATGTGTTAAGCCACGGGAAGATATAATGTCTCTGCCCGCACGTGAATATTTGGATCTCATGGTTACTCCAGTTTTAATTGAGGGATTAAAGGCTCTTGATCATGAAGGACCAGAAGATCCCATCTCATTTTTAGCTGCATATCTACTGAAAAATAGACGCCGTGCAAATGAGGTCGTAGCTCCACCTGATATGTAAATTGATGTCGAATTTCGGATATTAATCAAGTCGATAAATTAAATGATATTGATTTCTCACTTTTTTATATACTAGTAACACTGGTTGCTAAAATGGTGATCCAGGGACTTATATTTTGAAATGTTTTACGTTACAGAAAATTATAATAAAACAATTTGAAGTTAACGTTAGTACTATTAAGTAAGAATAAGCGGTAATATGTTAATTTTCTTTAATTATATTTTTATATGACACCAGACGCCATCCTATCAACCCAGGATAGGATGAAAAACATTTTTTTACACTCTCTTGTAATATTTTTCTATTATCAGCTAATATTCAGACATGAATATTAGACAGAAGCATGTATAGAACTCTTGTATGGCAGTATATATTTGAATTTCTTTAAGTCCTGATCCAGTATAAAATATAAGTAAGTTGACAGTTAATTTGAAATGGTACACTAATAATTTGCTTATTAGCATTAACAAATTATAACTTTCCACTTTAATGTTACGCTAAGGATTATATTCAATCAAAATGTATCCCAACAATCAGAACGTAAATTCCGCAGCTTTTCTTAGATCAATTGGATCACGCTCTCTAATTCATCGCGCAACTGGTTCATTTGAACTGGATCTTGCAAGATTATTGCTATAATGGGATAATGATAAATTTATCGGATCTGTACCAATAGATTACTATGGGAGTGTATATATTTTTGAAAAAACACATTTTCTAAAACGACTAACCCTAAGCCTACTCGTCAAATGATGCTCACCACTTCTGTTGAAGTTATAGTATTGAAATGGATGAGTCAAAGGTACTTCCCAAGCACTGGGTTGAAGAGTCCAGTTAAAATAACATTTGGTAAAGCAGTTTTTTAGTGAAGTGAGCGGTTATGATTTTATAATTAAACAAGTTTTTATAGTTCTAATATACCATAGGTATAGTCTGAAATATTTGATTCAATACTTTGAAAAATATCATGAGCTGATACTTGAAGTGTAGAAATATTAATTCATTGATAGAACTGTTAGGACTTTAGTATTATAAAAACCTTTCGGTCTAAATAAAATGAGTTAAGTCATTATAATCTAATTTAAATTCTTTGCAAATAAGTGATATTAATTTATTGATAGAACCACTATAGGTGTATAATATATAGGCTTTTGATCTAAATAAAATGAGTTAAGTCATTATAATCTAATTTAAATTCTCTGGAAATAAATGATACCAGAAAAGGACTGAAATCATTAAACTTTCCTACTACGTATATTATTGCTTTTTATAAATATGATTTCGTAATTCTTTCGCAACCCTAACAGTGTTCAGTTCCATTATTTGGTTCCATACACACTATTGAGCATACCTTTCAAACGATTAAAGCATGCCGCATAATGTTATATGCAACATGTTATGTCCTTTCCATCCTTTTTATTGCACTTTTCACTTAAACTATTCAGTATTTGTTGCAGTTTTAGTGGCACGAGTTGCGGAGCAATTGGTCCGCAACAAAATTCATTTTTGTTACGGTAATCACATGTGCGAATCGTTGAAGGGGGAAGGGTGCAAAGTCGCAGAGTAGCTGCTAAAGCCAATTATTGCTGTTTTAATTTGGAGCAATATGTCGTCTGCATTTTAATTGCCAGCGTATAATTTTTTCCAACTAAATTGCTAATGGCACTTTGGCATGATAATTGCACTTTGTTTAGCAATTTAAGTGTAACGATTTTTCGTGCGAAAATTTATTAAAAGCAACTTAATCCGAATATGCAAAAGGAAATAATAAATGTTCCGCTTTTCGCGTAAATGTTACGGAATTAGTTGATAGTTTTTGTTGTTTAGACTATTAACAATATTTTTTACAAACGAGTACATAAGTGTAGTGGCAATTATAACAAAACTTTATATTGACGGAAATAAACTTTAATATATCCAGAAGTGCAAACACTATAATTGCGTAAAATATAATATATTATCCATAATATTATTATTATGTTTTTATGTTAAGCCTTTTCCGAGTTAGGACATCTGAGCACTTTTACTCTATGATGGCTGGAGGGTTTCTGCGGAGTCCCACCCATCTCACTGTCTTATTTGAATATTCCTCATAAAATTCATGATTATTCAATGATTGATCTAAGATATGCGCCCGCCCCGTGCGGTTAGTGATTACTCTGAGATTAGATAGCGATAAGTAGGGCATCCTGTTGATTTTCGCATATAGTTTTAAAGCTCTGTCCCTAATATATTTTTTGACCGGATCAATTCTAAGGTCGAGTACTACAGTACTATATTTACAAATAATACTGCAGAATTAACTGCAAATAGCTATGAATTTGTGTAAATACAACGACGAAATGACACCTACACTCAGAAAAATAATTTATTTGATTTAAACAGAGTTTAACCAAAACTCAGTCAAAATATTCTTACTCGACGCATCAGGTTGGTTCAACCATACCACATGTTGGTTTTCATATCTTCTTTACTACATGAGCTAAAATTTTTCTAACGAAACTATCAGGTCAAATTAACTAGTATGTGGTTAGAACATATTTTTCTGAGTGTACCAATTGATCTACTGCAGTGATATAAAATGTTGACACTTTTGGACAGTTTCTAAAAGCGATATTAAAATTTTTTTTTTAAGTAAAGTTATAAGTAATACCAATATCAAATTCAAGAAGAGGTTATAACGCGCAGATAATACACTGTCAAAAAATATGTTCTGGATAAACCGCACTCTTAGTAAAAATGAATGAATGAAATAAAAAATAAAATAAAAAATACATGTATATATATACCGAAAGTCAATAAATTAATAATAATTTAATAATAATTTTTGTTTAGTTGTGATTTTTCTTAAAGAATTTTATGATCTTCAAAGAACCAGTTCAATTAAAATCCAATGGAGGCTCGTTTATCTATACTATTAAATGGGATGTTAGTATTCCACAACCAATGGGGTTCATTGCGATTTGCTTGGAAAAGATTGTTAAATAAAAGTGAGAACATTAAAACTATTGATAAACCTAACAATTCATTTAATTTGAAGACCCTTTGCCTCAATTAGTTCAATAAAATCAAAATATAAATACTTGATAATAAGATCTGTGAATATTTTATTTTGCATTCCAAATATACTGCAAACATCTGAGACCTTTAACTTTGTCTTCAAAAGGTAATAGTTGAGAGTAGCATACCCACTTAAGAAGAAAATTGTTAATCTGAGTTCACATCTAATAAGATTTACAAACTAATATTTCTTTAATTCTTAGAATATAATGGAGAGCTCACTTGAGTTGCGTCTACTTAACTTAGTATTGTAGATCTGATCCACAATACATATCATCTATTTAATCCCCTTTATCTACTTTAAAAACAAATTCTTATTGGAATTTAGTTGTCTCATATTATTGTCATACCTCTAAGATTTTCTAACCCCTATCATGAGCAAAGAAATGCTGCGTGATATAACTAGATTAGATTTAGATTAGAACTAGATTAGATATAATTAGATTTCGGTTTCATAATTAAAGTTTTATCATTTCCTTAGTAAGTTTACCCCAATTGTTTTGAAACCTTGATACAAAACGCAGACTTTACATCGGGTATATTTTAACCCCTATCATGAAGGAAACAATTTACTTTAAGATTAGATATCCAGCAGAAAACTTTGAGTTCTATTAATGAAATTTTAATATATCTTTTGCAGGCTTATCAACTGTTTCATTACCTTGAATGCCTCTTATCCAATTTTTTGGCAATATTTGTCACTTATAAAGAGCATCTTTATCTTGAGAATATTCAAATCATTATCCCAAAAAAAGAAATCATTGCCAACAGAAAACTTCGATTTCATGTCTTTCTTTACAAGTTTATCTCAATGGATTGGTATACCTTATTTCAAGAATATTTTAACTTTAATTTCAAAAAAAAAATTAAACTTTAGAATTAAATATCCAGTAGAAAAATTCGGTCTCTACGAATGGGGTTTCTAAACCTTCTTTGAAGGTTTATCAGCTTTTTATTATAATGAAGCAGCGATAGGTATGCCTTATCACGATAATATTTAAACCATTATCCCGAAGAAAGAAATGCTGCTTTATTATTTCCAACAGAAAAATTCGATTACTCCGCTTTCTTCACAAGTCTATCCTCAATTGACTTTAATCGCCTCCTGCAATAGTTATGCCTGGGGAATATCTTAACCTCCATCTCAAAGAAAGAAATGCCACTTGATAATTAGATATCCAGCAGAAAGATTTGGCCCCAATGAATGGAATTTCAACACATTCTTTGGATGTTAATCAGCTTTTTCTTATAATTAGTACCTCATGACTAATTATTTAGACATCTTGCTTTGATTGTACCAGCAAGCTTGCTTGGATACTATGAAGTTAGGTTTATCACCTTTTCAAGTTCTAGTTTCTAGTTCTGGGAGCAAATGTGATTATGTTATTTTGTAAGTGCTGACAATTGATATGTAAGACTTTTAGGTCTGATATAGAGTCACTGCACCAATATTGTGGAGATTTTATTTAGTGGAGTCTCTTTATTTGGATATATTAGACAATAAACCTTAAAAGCAGAATTAGAACTTTTCACCAATTTTAGTTTTTTTTTAACTTGTTGCAAAAAATGTTAATTAGTTGCAATTGCATTTGACCAAAGCAGTAATGAGGGTCTTTGAAATTTTCTCGGAGGTTTTATTTTATGCGCTACACTTAAAATATGCAAATAATAAACTCACTGCAAAAATGCTCTAAAAAGTTCTTAGAAAAAAATTGCATAATTTAGCATATTTATACTATTTACAAAGGTAATATTTTAAATACAGCGAAATTCCCTTCCTTGTGGGGTTTCTCACAAAGGCGCTGCAAGTGAGTTTATGGAAGAGATGAAGCAATTCAGTGAAAGCGTGAAATAAAAAATTAGAGTGTTTCATTTAGTTCATTAAAATATTAAAAAAGGTTAACAAAAAGGTGCACAGAAAGTATAGAAGGAAGGACGAAGTAGTTTGAAGTAGCGCAACTCATGCAGCGTTGCAACACGCTTTGA